CCCCAAAACCCCAAAACCCCAAAACCCCATCTATCACAGCCAAATTGAATTGTTTAAATCTGGATAAAAACCTCAATTAAGAATAGGGTTCCAAAACTACGAAGTTAAAGTTAAGCTCTAAGAGTCTTTATTGCTCACACTATCCATGAAAGGTTTAGTAGAGCTATCTGAAGACCCATTTAGATGCACCTCAGTTTGCTTTTGAGGTAACTGGGCATCTGGGGCATCTTCCATGTCTTCCTCCATGAGTGTGAATTGGCCATTCTGTTTATCTCTCTTTGCCTTATTGGCTTTTGTGTTCTGAGCAAACCCAAGGATAGGAGGAACATAAATTTCATTGTAGATAATTGTCCCAATAATAATCCCTATGAACCCAATGAATTCAATATATTCAAAACTTTCATGCCCTTCACCTGGATAAGCAAGGAAGAATCCCCAGATTAGGATGATCCTGGCAATGTCTATTGTACATCTCTGAGCCGAAGAGCCATATTTGGTTGTATAAACTCCACTACATTGAAAAGCACAAATTCAGATAATAAGTAAGATTAGATACATTATTATGATTGGCTTCTCTCTCATCTGCGTGATAGCAAGTGGGACATTCTCCAAACGGCCATCTGATCAGTAGGCAGCATCGCATTTAATGAAATTGGCTATAATTACCATAATAGTTGTCATCAATAAACTCCAAATTCCTTGCCAACCTACCATTCTAAAAGGGTGGATATAATGAGTCTTTAAAATCTTCTCTTCAATAATCCAATGAGTAGCTGAGAAGAATTGAGAGATGAGTAACAATCATATACCTAACACAATATTTGAATTCTTTGAATTGGTGCCCAGAACAGATGAGAGGCCTACTAAAGTGACTCCCATAATGATAGCTGTCAAAGCAGTCCAATGATGTCTGTGCAACCTAGCTTTTAAAAATATGATTGCTGATACTGCAGTAATAAAGATCAGACCCCCTCTCATCATCTGATAAACACTGGCATTGATCATAATAAGTCCTAGGTTCATTAAAGGAATTGCGCAGAAGTTACAGAAGGCTGGGATCACAAGCCAGATCCAATGTATATACTCTTTCTTCCCACTCTGTACAGCGTTAATAACATCAGGCGAGTTGCTAAAACTTCCATGCTTCTTAACCACCAAATATTTATATACAGAGAAGAGAACTAGCCCTAAAGATCCAGCTATGAAAACATCGACCGAGCTGAAATAAGGATGCTTATATCTGTTACCATTGTTATCCCTTACTTCTATCTGAAGTTTCAGAAGAATTGTGTTTCCAGCACCTGTAATGAGCATCACAAGCATTGAGATATAGAGATATAGAGTATTTTTAGAGTTAGCATCTTGATCTGACATGTGAGTTAAATTTCAATTAATTTTTTAGTTTAAGGGGTTTTGGGGTTTTGGGGTTTTGGGGTTTTGGGG